TATTCCACGGATTTTGAACAAATTTGCAGTTATTGCACTTCTTGCAAACTAACAATACAGGTTTTCATAGATAACTGTGGAGAAAGAGGGAGTTGTGTCTGAACAGAACTTGATTTGTTTAAAAAATAATATACAATAGTGCCAGACACAGACTTCTGAGCAACAAACAAAAGTAAATCACTTGGTTTGTTTTTTGGATATCTCAAAGGCACAGAGATGAAATTAAGTTAGACTCATAGGAGTCAGTTACCTCACTGCCAAAACAAATCAGCACTTGACTCTACAGGAGTCGAGTCAGGATGTAGCTCACACTTTAACTGAAATGAAATTACACCTGATAGAAAAATATGTTGGTTTTATTTATCAGTGGGATAATATAACAGGTACAAATACAGACGTATTATTAAYTAGTTTAGCAGAGAGGGGGCATATTCATCCCCACAGCAGTGTGCAACTCACAGGCTACTGGTATTTCTGTTTTGATAGCTGAACATTCATAGATCCCATAGGCATCAGGGCTTTGCTGTGATTTTGCACCACTTTTTTTCTGCTAAAGAGGCTTCTGAGGTTGTGAGGCTACATATGCATTCAAGGAAGATTTGGCTGCATTCCTCTGCTCACTCCCAGATTTTCTCCAGCTTTTTGCAAAACGTAATGGAGTTCAGGTTACAGATACATGAAAGTTGCTTGCTCCAAGGTGTGGAAGAATGTGATCTTATATTGTCAGCTATTTCACAGGAACAATTGTGCTATGTGCTCAATACATATGATATAATTTATGGGATTTTTTCAGTAAGTATGCATAYACGAGCAGCTCCTACTGTGTGGAATTTTTCTGAGTCTCACATCGCAGGAGTTTGTGGACACAAACTCTTTGCTGTCTGTCATCCATTTAAAGGAGCAAAATGTTTACAAATTTTTGGGGACCTGGTCCTTATTTTAATACTTCAAGACCTTTGCATGAAGAAATAGTACATGCATTTTTTGCTCAAAAGGAGAACAAAATGAACACTCAATCAGGTCATAGTTGTCATGGTGAAAGGAATACAAAATGATAAAAAAATCTTGCACAGTACAAAACCAGTAACTAGGATGCCAGGTTTTTAAAAGTATTCCCCAGTTATGAGAAAATGAAAAGGGTGAGGGCAGAGGAGCAAATATGGAGATAAAGACATGAACAATCCGGTGAGGGTTGCTCCTCTGACTAAAACAAAATAGTGTTCTCCCAAAGGCTCACATCCCCATGTAGCTACCTCAGCTCTTATTCTGGTTTTGCCTYACAACATCAAAGGGCAGAAAAATTAAGCTTTTTGCAAGAAGTAAAAGAGGTAATGGATGTACTGCCAGGCCTCCCTGCTGTGGCACTGTGGAAAGGATGATGTGCAATGCACCATCTTATTTGTTGTTGTGATGAGTCTCAGACATGTACTATTATTTACTACATGAAGCTGAAAAAATAATGCAGGTTACCAATTCTGTTGAAGAGAGATTATAATAATAGAAATGAACACAGAAAAGAAGAGATGCTGACTGTTTTTAATGAGAGTTTCAAGAAATAAACTAAACAGAGTATAAAAGCCTAATATTGAAAATTACTTATGAATCCCCTGCACCATAAAATTAGAAAAAAAAATAAAATTAATTAAAAAGTATCAATCTGAACTCCCTAAACTGTACAAAGMACAAATATCTGCATTTTCAAAAAAACCCACATTTTAACACTATAAATCATTAGCATAAAGACAACAGTTAATGTGATCAAACAACCACACCTCCAGAAGAAAAGATCTAGCAGATTGAAGAAATTTCATACTACATCATATACAGCTCCCTTCAGCCACCTGTACACCTACCACACATGCTTCACTCGTTTTCAGTTTGGCACAGATTTGGCACAGAGATTTGAAGGACCAAGAAGTGAAGATGACTGACAGAAGCCATCCTATTCCCAACCACAAAGTTTCAGGATACCTAAAAACACGTCTTGGACCATCAAGCAAGATACACATTTAAGATTATTCTGTCTTCACAGCAGATCTCCACAAACAGGAAGAGAAGTGTTGCACAGAGAGCAGCAATTTAACGCCCTTTTGTGGTGGTTGAATTCAGTATTTTCAAAACAGTGAAGTAGTAAAGGCTCAACAGTATTTAAATTTCAAATGAATCTTCAATTCCTTTGAAAAATCCCAGCCCTGAGCCTTAGTTTGATTTCTGAAACCTTCTTTGTATCTTTTGCATCCAGTATTATGTAATGTAAAGGTACGATAGCCAAGAATTAATGCTATTGCTCTCCAACACATCTTGATTTTTATTTATTTCCTTATCCTACCACAGTGCACAGTGCAGAAATATAGTCTGGTAAAAGATACCACATTGCACTCTTCTGATCGACACACAGCTACACCCGCTCCCCATATAAATTTAGCTCTCAGTAGGAAGAAAGCTAACTCTCTTCACTAGTGACATTTCTACAGAGAACCCAAACTACGTATCATTAGTACACAGTCTATGCTTCAACTTCTTGGGAAAAAACCCCGAGCTCTTATCTATCAAAGAATAGAGCCTATAGAAGTGGGGTTTCAATGTAAAATTTACCAAGTCTAAGATGGTTGATTCAAGTAGCATTTACCATGTGCCTGAGGATCCAAAAGCTTTAGGCAATAAGTAGTCTCATATCTAGCAAGCATGCAAGCATGATAGCTTAATCTCAGGCTGCTTTAATCCCAGGAAAGGTGAAGTCTGCAAGACAAGCTTGTACAGTGAGGTATGAGTYATTTATTAAGGATAAGGAGTCCAGGAAAAACAGGTGTGACTCGTAGTAAGGATTAGCTACCTTTAACTAAAGTTCKTATTGATGAAGTTACACAGAATTTGTTTTCTTTTAGGTATTCCCTAACAGTAAGAAAACGGTCTTCATTTGAAGAGGACAAGCACTCAGTTTTGTCTATTGACTGCACTGTACAGGATAGTGTAAACAAGGTATGCAATACTACCTGCTGGTAACTTGAACTGCTCAATAAGGGCAATTTTAGTAGAGTATTAGTAGAGTATTTCTCACTAAAATGATTTTCCAGTACCAATATTTGGCTAATACATAAAATAAATAATCGCAGCTTTAGGCTACATCAACAAAAGATTAAAGGCATGTTAAAGCCTAAAGAGCTTAAATTCTGCTTGTCGCTGCCTGAAGCCTATATGAACTCTTCTTTATGCATTAAAGCCTTCCAGGAGCCCCAAATCCTCTTTGAGAACATACAATAGTTTGGTTTAGAAGGGACCTATAAAGGTCATCTAGTCTTAACGCTCTGCAATGAGCAGGAAAACCTTCAATTTTTAGATCAGKTCACTGTGTCCTGTCCAACATAACCCTGAATGTTTCCAGGGATGGGCCATCTACCACCTCTCTGAGCAACCTGTTCCAGTGTACTGTCGTAAACAATTTCTTCCTTACATCCAATCTAAATCTACCCTCTTAGTTTAAAACCATGACCCCATCACAACAGTCCCYGATAAACAGTTTGTCCATGTTTCCTGTAGACCTCGTTAGGCACTGGACTTTTGCACAGGTCTGCTGGATTAATGCCCGTTACTACAGAACCTATTTAAGTGGAATTTATACTCAGATTCTGAACAAGAGGGCATGTACCACAGCAGTCCACGTGCATGAAAAAAGATGACACGAAGGCAGTGAACAATGTAGCAACACTTCCAGCATATCTGAGAATAAAGTGCTGTGCTAGAGCGGCAGAGTATTGCAAGATCTAAATGCAGAAAAAACTGCATTTAGAATTCCTTTTGTATAGACAGTATCAATTTCATCTTGCATTTGCTCTCAGAGAGTGTGTTGCATTTGCTCTCAGAGAGTCACTTACTCTTGCACTGAGCAGCAGCTCCAAATGAAGGTGTCTCTCTCCACGGGATTGTGCTCTGGAGGTACTCTGTTCAGCCAGAGCCACACTTAGCAGATCTTTTCAGCATGATTGTGCCAGCTCCAGCAGTGACTGTAGCCAACTCAGACATACTCATTTTWAATATATTTATTAAAAGTTGTAAACAAAAGTGGAAGATAGACAAAGACAGCAAGATTTAAGACCACAGAGTGACTGAGGTTGGAAGGCACCTTTGGAGGTCATCAAAGGCACCCACAGCCAGCAGCTCATGACCATATCCAGTCAGAGTTTTTGAATACATCCAATGATGGAAACGTATCAGCCTCTCTGGGCAATGCTCTGTGCCAGTGCTCAATCACCTTGACAGCAGAAAAGTATTTCCTCTGTTCAGAAGGAACCCCCCCAGTGCTGACACCAGGCACTGCTGAAAAGAGCCTGGCTCCCCTGTCTTCATATCCTCCCTTCAGTGTTTACACATTGGTGAAATTCCTCCCACTCTTTTGTTCTCCAGGATGAACAGTGCCAGCTCTGAAACCCTTTCCTCACAAGAGAGATGCTCCAGTCCATCATCACTGTGTCACTTTTCTGGACGCTCTCCTCTAGCCCCRTTTCTCTCTTGTGCTGGAGCACCCAGTACTGGACACAGAACTACAGATGTAAGTAAAACTTTACACTTCAAATATAAGTAATAAAAAAATTAAAAGGGGRAAAAAAGAGGAAGCATAAAACTGAGAAATCAGAGAAAACATCTAAATAACCAAACAGAGGGAGAAGCAATACATGACAAACATACCTCAAAAAACCAGCACAACAGCACAATCCATGTGAAATGTTGTCAGCATTGTAGTCTGAGCTGACTATTTGTGCATGAATGTTCTTCATTGCATTAGCCTTTACTTCTCTACAAGCAAATGGCAAAGTGATACAGATCCGACAAGGCATCATTATGCTTAATTCCTCATGTGATGGCAATTCCTCACAGTTTTCCCATGGCAGCAKCTTTTGACTAGTAGCAAGGTGAACCAGTCACCTTAAAGTGAAGAATATTCTGCTTCTCCTAAAACTGCTACTGTCTCTGGCTCACTTCCACAGCAGTGTTCAGAGAAAACAGAACAAAAAAAAAAAAAAAAAAAAAAAAAAAAAAAAAAAAAAAAAAAAAAAAAAAAAAAAAAAAAAAAAAGCTTCAAATAAAATGAAGAAAAGCTATTTTATGGCTGTCTTAATTTCCCTTTAAGTTATACTTGTATAGAACAAGGAACAGAAATAGTTAAACATCTCTAATACTGGGGGTAAAAAGAAAACGGGGCTTACATCGGTACCATTTCATTTAAAGTACAGATGGGCTGGACTTGGGGCACAGAATAACTGAGGGTATTAACATCTGTTCTTGCTCATCACAGACTCGCCAAGGTAATTTTGGGCAAGATACCATTTCTACTGCATCTCTGAAATGGAGATAGGGCTTTCCTGCCTCATAGGCAAGACTCAAATTAATCTCTGTAAATTGTCTGAACACTCAGGAGTTTTATATTAAATATTAAAAGTAATATAAAGATTTTTAAACAGGTAAAACATAAAAGAAAAAAAAAAACTCCTTCCACTAACAAATTCAGAGCTATTAATCAAACCATATAAACATCGCTCCAGAAAAACTACTAATCCATTTAATTACTTCCTTAACTTGTGAAGTTTACTTATTATTTCCTGCCCCCCAGAGTATACATGCAATTTTATACCTCTTTTCAGAACAGTAAACAACTCAAAAAGTTTCCATGATTGAACAAGCACCGGTCAAACATGAGAGAAGGGCTTGCTTGTGCCTGGAAGCATGGGAGGCAGAAAGAAAAGAAACAACTAAGACACACCAGGTTAGTGAGGAAGGCACTTATTGAAGAAAAAAAAAAGAGCATTTGCAATAATTTATTTCCTCTTCCTTTAGTTCTTACAGGCAGGCAAGGGAGAAGAGAGATTTTCTTGGGAAATGGAATGAGGTCAAGGAGTTAACTCATATATGTACTCATCAAGAACTTTCCAAAAATAATGAAAAATATGATTTTTTCATGGAGAAAAGTGGATTTAAAAGAATCATCCAGATGGCTATAACTAATATGAAACAGAAAATATGGAATGTGACCAATCTGCAACAGTGTGATGTTTAAGCCCTTAAATTCAGGAATATAAACCTGAAACCATCCACAGTGCATAAACAGAGTACTTAAAAAAAAAAGGAAAAAGAAGACTTCATATCCAAAAGCAAGAAAGATGAGTAAGGAACTAATAAAGATAAGTAGGAATGACATATGCCCAAGCTTTAGCTTAAAATATTTGGTAAGTTCAAAGCACAGGAGTGGTAGAAGAAGATTAAGTAAAACAGTTTAATGCAGCACAAGGAAACACTGTAGATTTGGAGGGCAGGGCATTAGTTCTTCCACACTTGTATTCACACATAGGTACCTGCATAATTAGTAGTTCTGACTATACTGATGCACTTAAATACAGAAGAAATCTGMTGCACAGTCAATTACTTCATTACTGAAGTGTGCCAAACAAATGCAAAAATGTAATATGAAAACAACTGCATATGCATGCTGATTTAGGCAAAAAGAGCTCCCTCAGCTTTCCAAAGGAGGCAGAAACAGGTGTCACAGAGGTAGATTGCTGAAATCAATGGAGATCCTGGTCAGACTAAAATTTTACTGTGAATTTCAGTACCATTATAACTCATTTCTACATCAAAGATTTTTTATAGAGAGGAAAAACCTGTGTAGCACAAAAATAAGAAGCAACTAATTCACATTATATTTAGATAATAAATTTTCTGGTGAGAGAATATTTTTTTCTATAGTTTCACATGCCTACTGTAAAGAGTCCAGGTGACAATGAGTATAAAATGCAACAGTTACTATGACCAGCCTTCAACAACCCTTGGGAAGGGTTAACCAACTTCCCAATACAAGTGCTCTTACAGAAAAAAAAACCCCAGAATTTACAGTTACTTTGTGGACAAGCCCTTATTCATATTTCATAGACAACACAAAACCAACATACATATACAGCACAGAAGACTCAAACCCTCAATATTTTGTAGTAAGAACACTTGTAGTTTTGTAAGGTTCTCTGATTTGCATGCACTATGAAACTTATTTAAAAAACCACACAATCCCAAAAACAGCAACTGACTGAAATGAAGGTTTTCATAATGAAGGCATGAAAATACACAGACCATGATGGGTAGCAAATGATTAACTACTCTCACTTGTGCATTTTCTTTAACACATTAACATATTGTTGATTTGCAAATAGTAGACTCACACCTATGAAAATAAAGAGCTGACTCTTAAATTTATGCTATTAACAGTAAACCTACAATATTCATTTGTATATAAAAATAATTTTTRAAGTACACCTGTAAAACAAGACCTACACTTCTACAGTTAATAAGAATATAAAAAAATAAATCAAAACTTCCCCTAATGATAGCTTCATTAACTCAGTTGTTTATACAATAGAGAATAAATTAAAAGGTGAATTATTGTGATTGCTGTTCTCTCCACAGAGAGACAATAGAGACAAAACTGGATTATATAAACAGTTCACATACATACTACATTTGAATTCTAGTTAGAAACTTTGTGAGTGGCTTCTCATCTATTTAAATTAAACAGAGGCCAAATGAATTATATTTACTATGAATTTTTGCATGTGTGGTAGCTTTCTCATAATTTGGATTCCTGAAGCTCAASAAAGTTTAGCAACAGGCAGAGCTCACAAATGGCAGAACTGAGATTGTAAAGGTATCTTAGCCTYGATGGAACGACCAACTTAATTTAGYGAAAASAGTGCAAGGGAATGTAAGAGTTGATAGATATCATGGGGAAAGAAGTGGATCAACCCCCCTAACTTGGTCAAATGCACTCTTACACCAAATTTGAAATTTTAACCCTTTGTTACCATACCTTACCATAAAACTTGGGCTGCTACATGAAAATGGACAGCCATGGCAGGCCATTGGTCTCTTTCAAGGTGTATCTGTTTTTCAAATTCTCACCTCTCTATCTCATCCGTGACACAATCAACCATGCAGCAGCYGGGAATTTAAAAACCGAAACTGTCACATGCAATAAATTCTCCCAACTTGACAAGAGTGGGATTGTATGTGTTGGGAGGCTCTGCTGACACACCAGAAAAGCTTCAGTGCTGGGAACAGTGCAGCTATGTTAGCACAGCTCTTCTCTTGTTCATCCCATTGTGCTAAGATTCTGTGTTCTCTTCTATAACATACTTAATAGGGAAGATGAGAGCCACCAACTTAATAAACAAAAATTTAAGGCACATTTCGTGTCTGTGCTTTGATTACAAGGTCCTTTGAACAACAATTCTTCATAAAACTCTGAAAAAMATTTTGCACATTCTTGAATACTTTCACTGACTAGTATTTTTGACATAAAGACATGCTGTGAGATATTTTAATTCTTTGTACATTCTTTCTGATTATATATTTCTATTATGCAATTGGCTTTTGTCTAAGTTGAAAGAACACACATCAAGATGCATCTAAGGGACACAACAACAAAAAACCCATGACYACTTAAGAAGAATGACTTGTAAGGTGATTAGTATTTTTAAAGTGCTGCTGTTAAACATATAAAATTAAAGAGATGGCAAGCAATTCAAAAGCAAGTTGAATATGAAAGAAAGAGAGATAAATGGACTTAGTCTTCCTAAATTCATGATGAAAAAGACAGACTGSTAGTACATTGTCTCCTCCTGTCATTAAAAAAAGAAAATTGTAATCTGTATCCTAATCCTCTTAACTTCATCAGAAGACCACACAGACTGATACAATACACATTCCAATCACATTAGCTGATGGTGTTATTTACTCCAATGTTGAAATTGAAGAATTTTGATTTGATTATATGAATTTAAGGAGAACTTCCATGTCTCTTTATACCACTATGATCAAGAGGGCCACAGGCCACTAAAATTCTGTATTTCACCACAGAATAAATAAGTAACAGTTTCATAGACCATTGTTCAGGCCTAAAAATCCATTTCACCCTTGTAAAAGCATGAGTGCTGTCCACACACACTAAATCTCTGTTTTGCTACTTACAAACAACAGTCAAAAAGAGTAACACTAGGATTTCCATWAAAATTTCACTTATTACAATAAATATCAAGTTCTGTGAAGATGTAAACAATAACTTAAAAAACCTCAACATTTTTATTTAAAATGTAAAAGAGTGACAACATACTGTATTCTAAACCTTCCATCTTTAAAATCACAATTTGGTCAACCAGTTGGTGATTAGGTTCCATTAAACGTTAATACAGTATTACATTTAAATTATCCCACCTAGACAATTAACAAAGAACCACTAATCTCAAATCAGCCACATGGCCAATATTATTAAAATGCCCACACTAGTCTTCTACTGTGTCCCACTTYAAGTGCAGCTTCTCAGCAGTTTGCCAGGAGCTGCTGTCCTTCATTGCTGAAGAAACCATCTGATAATGGCCTACAACACCGTTTATGATGAATTTCAAGTGCTCTAAAGAAAGGGCTCACRAAAGTGTGCATTGACAGCAATCTGCAAGCAGACAATATGCCTTCAGCTCCTTTGGTTTTAATAATGTTCCCTTTGGAAAGTACATCAGTTGAAGACTGYTCCAATAAAATAGTAAGTCAAAGTCTAGACAAGGCATAAACCACCGCTTATACAGTTTGTGATAACGTCCTTGATTTTCTTTCTTCCATGCTTTTTTTCCAAAGACCAAGAAGTGAAGGCAGTTTGATTTTGTCCATATTCTTACTGTAAACATTAAGAAATATACCAAGGACCACCAATAAGCCTGACCACACGTACCTAAAGGGGAGGCAGAGGAGGGGAAAAAAGTTACCAGTAGCACCTTATCTGTAGCAATTACATACCAATATCTGAGGCATAAACAAACCTTACATTAAGAAGAGTGTTGAAGAAAAAGAACCCCACAAGTCAGTGGGCTCTGMGATAGAATTTCCTTGAATCTTTATTACTACTATCCTTCCACRCTTCTTTTTTCCTATCCTGGCTGAAGAACTTATTAAGGTGCATTTATAGTTAAATAAGGAGTATCTATTCTTTCTCATATGAATAAAATAAATCTGAGGGGTTTTAGTATGTTTTTCCTTCCTACGGTCAGGAGAGCTATGCTCTCTGTTACTTGTCCAAAATGTTTTCTAACTCKGCGCCTTATATCCATACTTCCCACTGTAGGCACATTTTTGTTTCAGCTCTCCATTCTTTTAAGCCTCAACATTTTTAGCTGGAGTAAATTYCATTTGGGATTTGGATGCAAGCTTTGTTCTTAAATCAATTTGTATATAGAAAWAAAATGGACTATTATGTTGTTTCAAACCTGAAGCCATTAAGATTAAAGTRGCAACTTTGCTGCATTTTTCAATGTAAGCCCTTCCTTAAAATTAAAAAAAAATGGAGTAAACCCAAGCTCAAAAATCTGGCATTTTAATAGATCAAGATAATAGAAGCTTTCAGTTATTTAAAAGGGCTAGCTAAGAATTTAAATCTRAGCTTATAAAAGCAGGAACATCATAATGGAGAAAATCCCTTCCTTTAGCCAAATCTTCCGCCAMAGAGAAAGTACCCAAAGAATTGATTATGTATCATAATAATACATATTATGTAAGGTTTCTCTTAAATTTTCTCTGTTGTCTTCCAGACTTTTAGAAAAATGTAAACCCTTTTCTCTAGCATGATTAGTATCAACAAGCCATTCAATATTTACAGTAGATTGCCAACATTTGTAAAGATATGAAACGACAAATATCAAACCCTGAGTAAGATTAATTAGTGTCATTATATTTCCACGATGAAGAACAGGATTTTTTATAAAACATTTTGTAAAATATTTAAAGAGAKAAATACTTACTGTAATGTGAATGGCTTTGCAAAGAACAAAAAAGAAAGCACAATGCTCATTGCTTTTCGTCCTGTTGTTACTGCAGAGGAAAACAAATATTAAGCCYTTTAAGAATTTGGCTACACAAAAGAACATAACAAAGGCTTAGCAGGTAACCTCATAAAATAATGAAGTGTCTCACTAAAACTATGATCACACCCTTGGTGCAAACACAGACTCCAGATGCACCAGTGCAGTGCAAAATACCACTCTCTGAGAACAAGTACACTGTGTCAGAYGTAACACCTCCAGTCACATGATCTGCAGCAAGGAAATTTCCAGAACAAGATTTGCTATTTAATAACCTCATGCTGATCAATCCACAGTCTCTGAGAGCAACAAACAACCCTTGCAAGTAACTGATGGCATAGACTCATCATTTAAGACTTGGATGTAGACCAAAGACCAAGAGTCAAACGTCTTGCCGTTTCCACCTGATGCTGTAACAATTCAGTGGTGTTCTGGGCTTGATTTTTAAGTGGAGAGGGATTATCCCCTCATCATTCTTTTGAAGTTACTAAAATTTTATCTAACAGTGGGGGGAATTACAATTTTGGTTAGAAGCCTAAGAGACCAAGGATGTCTGACTTCAATGATTGCATTAGGAAGTTTTCCTGAAAACCATCAAGAGACAYTCTTCTACAAGGGATGTGTTCACTAGAAAGAATAAAAGTAGTAAGAGTGCAGAACACAATCCTGTTTACAAAATGGAAATAAACTCTGGTTCATCAGAAATAAAGTACAGCTCCAACAATTATCTGAACAATTCCAATATACAATTCCAATTTCATTGCTATCTTCAATGAACAAGTATAAAGCATTACTATCAAATTGTGTATCAGGAAACCTACATAGTTTTATCACTGAAAAAAAAACCCTCAATAAATCAGTGAAAGTTGCAGAAAATGTTTAAAAACAAAGTAAGAATGCAGCCAGGTACACAAGTTTAGCGATGGAGGCTAAGGGCCTGTTATTCTGTATGATGGCACAGGGCTCTTATTTGAGAAAWACCCCAGTACACGGTGCAGTTGGTCTGAAACTAAAGAATGTTCTTTTATTAACAGGAAGTATTTTGCTTACTATGAAGTACTCTTTTCTATACCATTCTGGAAAGTCTTCCTTGTGTAACTACATCCAAATTAGTCTTACTGCAACACACTGGCAAAAGGAACCAATGACTACTCATGTATTTTCATGCTGCTATGGCTAGAAAAGCAAGTTTCATCCTTCCCAACTCTGCCCCACAAACAAACATTCACTTAAGAGTGTTCTGTAGTAGAAGAAACAGCCATCACTACTGCTTCATCTGCCTCAACCTCAACTTTTTAGTAATAGTTTTCTTTTTACATTTTAATATATTTATGTGCATCAAAAAATGATTTTCTATCACATGAAAAATTAAGGGARAATGAAAAAGAAAATTGAGTTTTAATTAGGAAACAGTTTACAGATGAATAATTTAAAAAATGGTTAAATTACTTCAGTTTTTCTAATTACAATTATTTCTGTTCTTTCAAATCAGTTATTAATTAAAATATTTATGTAACCATTTCCTTCTAAATTAAGTGCCTTTTCTTCTTTTTCCCAATTAAGTCTGGTAATTTCTCATTCTGCTAATAGAAATACAATTTTCATTAAACTCTTTCACCCCACTCCCCTCAAGAAGGGGGAGGGTGGATGGGGGAGGTGGGAGGGACAGTAATGAATGTGGTGTTCTTCCAAGGCACAATAAACATTTTCATATTGCCATAGGCAAGACAGAAAGGGCTCAAGTGTTAGAATTGTCAAGGTCAGGCATAAGAAAACCTGGGAAATGTTTACTGTTCCACAGCATTTTTAAACTTTTTTTTAGTATGGTGAGACTTTTTTAAAAAAAGAGGTATTTTAATACATGAAGCCACCCCCTCCTTTGGTCAACTTCCAGTCAGGAGAGCTACTGAACTTGGTTAAAAGCAAATAYGAAACAGATACGCTGCAGAGGAAATAACTCTGATAGGAAACTGATAGTTAACCAGAGCATGCGATCCTCAGGTCAGAAAACAATGATGAATTTYCCTCTTCACTACTGTGAATGAAGTAGAGCACTACCTGACAGAAACCAAGGTGCCTTTTAAGGGAAGAAGAAAGGAAAGTAGCTACATGACATCCTGMTACACCTTCCCTGTGTGACTAATGTTTGTAGTTTCATACGCTGAGGAACAATTGATTTTCTTCTATGATTTTCTATACCATGCTTACTTTTCCTCTCACATTTCAAAAGATACATGTCTTTTCCTTTCTGTATCTTCCTATGAAGACWGGCTGAGAGACTTGGATTTGTTCAGCCTGAAGAAGAGCAGGCTCTGGGGAGACCTATAGCACTTTACAGTACCGAAAGGGGGCCTGCATGAGAGCTGGAGAGGGACTTTTTACAAGGCCATGTAGTGTGAKGACAAGATATGGAATGGCTTTAAACTGAAACCATTAGATTAGATATTAGGAAGAAACTCTTTWCTGTCAAAGTGGTAAGACCSACTGCCCAGAGATGCTGTGTCTGCCTCATCCTGGAAGTGTTCAAGGCCAGGTCGGATGGAGTTTTTGAGCAAACTGGTCTAGTGGAAAGTGTCCTTACCCAGGGCACGGGAGTTGGAACTAGACGGCCTTTGAAGTTCCTTCCAATGTAAAYGATTCTGTGATTCTATTTCAATTCCTCAATTTAGAAAAGTGTTTCTGCACCAGAACACAGCACAGACTATATGCACAAGCTCACTTAAAATGCTCTTCACAGTTGAAACTATGGCACAAAAAGAAGCAGGAAGCTCTCAAACACATTCTATCAGTGAGGATCCATCCTACAGAAATCAGTCAGCACAAAGAACTGAAAAAAAGACAGAGTAAGAACAATTCTCAAAAGCTCTGTCCTAAATAATAGAATAGGATTACTTTGTTTTTACACAAAGGCAGTAAAAATACCGTTTGTTCATACCTGTTACAGCAAGAAGGGCACCAAAGATTTTAATCAAAGCTAGAACAAAGGATATGCCAAAATACCCAGTCAGGGAGAAAAGGAATGCATAACCGTAAGTCTGAACTGGATGCTGCAACAATAAAAAAAGCCGGTTAGGAAAATGTAAAACAAACCCTGAGGTATTGCAAAATGACATAAAACTAGACTTTAATCAACTGCTTGAACAATAATAAGCTGTTCAACAATGCATTCATGCAAAAATCCTTATTTAATTTTAGTTAAATAATGGCAAAATAATAATGAAATTATAAGCTCATAAGGCTGGTCCTGTGATTTTGTGCTTTTTTAAAACATTACCCTATCTTATACATCAAAGACTGGAAAAACTTGTTTACTGTATGAATTATACAAGTTAACCTGTTTACATGATRAAAAATAGAACTTTAGAGAGAGAAGTGGTGCAATTTTCTAAATCATACAGAGCAAGGTTTTCATATGAGGTTCTTCATAGAGAAAGGGAAATCTTTACACCTACCTTTGAGCAAAATGTTACTGCAGGGCTTAATCCGCTAGTGCATGTTAATCCAAATAAAATATACACAAAACCTATTGAATAGGAATACAAAACCTAGAATAGTGTAAGAAAAAATAATTACTAGGTGATACTTCACAAAAGGACAAAATTAAATGTTTTCAGATGCTTTGCCCTATTAATATTCTCAGCTTCTCAGAATTTGCAGCGTTTGATAACATTTTTACTAGGTTTTATATAATAGTTGATGTACAGWGAAAAATCAACAATAAGTGTTAGGCACATTCTTCCTACCCACAACAACATAAAAGAAGTTTAAAAAGCTAGACYAGTTAATAATATCCTGAGGTCAATGCCAACTGCAGTAAATCYTTCAAGTTCAGGATTTCACAGCCTAAATAAAACTCCACACAACTATGTCATTTTACAGTCTGAAGAACATGTTACACRTATTTCATTTTCTGCTACTTATCCAGCACAGTAAAGACCCATATTACATTAAATGTGCAAAGGGTATCACACAATCACCATGGACTGCCAGAAGTGTCACGTAAGTTTCATCTGTGTCACTTCAGTTCACATGCATGGCACATGTAGTTAGAGCACACAGGATTTTCAACTATGACTAGCTCTGGCCTAGTTCAGTGCATAACACACCCAGGAAACAGGAAAACTATTTTGTCTTAAAATTTTTGTTTGCACCCTTATTCAATTCATAGCTGCATTAAGCAACAAAACGATCTTCTATTTATCCTTTCCCATGCTGAGGCAACAAAAGAAGAAACTGAAACTGTCCATCCATCCATCCATCCTGCAGGAGGCATCCAGCTGTTTGGGCAACATTTAGTAACCTTTTCTCATGAAACAGGGAACGAGTCAACAGAACTATTCTACACAACACTGGTTAGAACATGCTGATCTACTATGCTTTCAAAACTCAGTGTCTGTTATAATATCTCAGTTATTGGAAAAAATCAGTTAACAATTGATAAGAATTCCATGAGACAACAGAACACTTATTGCTGTTCTACAATAAAGGATGACTRAACATTCAAAGAGCAGACCTGCTTTCAAACACTTAAAAACCAGTGACCTGATCCTCACAGCTTTTACTTGACACTGATTATACACACAGAAGTCAGTCCCTAGCTCTTCGCTTGCCTCTGCATCCAGCTTTTCTCCGAAAGTACCTAAAGACCCCATTTTTCACAACCAGGAATAAGCACYACATTGCTATTTCCTTGTTAGGCAGTGTAATGTAAGTCACTTCCACAGAATGACACATAAGGCAAAAATCGGGTATAACCTTCCAGAACAGCGGTTACTATTTCAGCCACAAGACATCTTTTTCCCTTCCACAACTGCTTAAATCCAGGGCAGTTTCCAAATTTGACAAAGAGAGATCCTGTGAACGACTGGTTCTTTTATTACTCATTTCCAGATCACTGTCCATTAAACATGACCTCTTAATTCAGATTCAAYTTTTGCCCACAATCTCAAGTACAGAAAATTATTCCCAAAATTCTGTTTGCACTTCTGCACTGAATTCTCGGACAAAATCCTGAAATGCAATGTCTAAACCACAAACAAACAAAACCTTTATATCCTAAACCATTACACTCATCCTCTACAAGTAGTATGAGTATACAGTATGAGGACCAGTATTTGTCAGACTAATGAAGAATAAAAAGCAAAGTCCTGGAGACAACAGGAGTTTTGTAGGTAAGGCAGCAACAATTGTCAGATGCAAAATGGACAAGAAAACAGCTACAGATTGTACTTTGGTTTGGATTTTGGAAATGACAGCTATAGAAGGCTGCACTGGGTCAGGTGAGGCCCAAGTAACCAAAATCTCTGCCTCCAGCAGCAGTTAACAATGAACACTAAGTACCAGAATAAAAACAAGAATTACAGTGACACTTCTGGTATATATTCTTCTACTTTACAGAAACTTGTAGCTCAAACTTCTAAATCCTAAATCACTTCTAGCCTTAAATAAAGATTCCTTCTAACTTTTTCTCCATTTACGAAGCTATTCTCATGAGAAATTAGATCTTCTAGCTAAATGTCAAATACATGCCAAATATTAGAAAATAAATTTTCAGTAACTCTTTCCCTGTGGCATATTCACATCATGCCTTTGATAATAAAGGATTTACTTGACTTCAGAGAAMAATAAGCCAAATTCAAACAAGTTTTGTCTAAAAAGAAAAATAACCTCAGATCATATAAACACGTAATCCACATTCCAAGTWAGTATATAAAAAGTACTGAGCAAGGCTTTTTCAAAATTATGTATTTCACTGAATCAAGAACAAAAATRTTCACCCACCGTAAAAGTCAGGATTTTACAGATTTCAAAAGATTTAAAAAAACCTWGCCTTCCAAGTGCTAGCATACTCTAGAATATAAAACAAGTAAGAAAAGCAACATGTTCCATGCAACACATGGTCAACTATACCAGAAAAAGAGTGTGTATTTTTCAGAGGTTAAGTGCATGATCATACAAAATACACTATATTGATTTCAGGCCTCCAGGGTAGACAAAGGAACAGTTGCTAGAAATCAGTGTTTCTCTAGCCACAATATCTATTTGAAGTTGCACACAGAAAGCAACACCCTTGGAAGGTTAAACAATGAAAAAAAAAAATTCAGCAGAAGTCCCCAAACAAACAAAATCCTAACAACAGCACACTAAGAGCTTTTTCTTTCATAAGTAAGAGAAAAGCACATTAAGTTCCATGTTTTGTCAATGTAAGCCTTGCCTATAACAGAACATGTTCTTTTAAAATTGCAGATCTGGTATTTACCATTTCTGAATTAGAACCATTGTGCAACTTCATAGCTTTTTCCTGTACATTTCCTATAACTGCATCTGCGCAGAGGGCAAGGGATATTAGGACCACACCTATTAAAACAAACAAAAACCTCTTCAGAATACTGATCAGCACAGTAGAGCCAAAAAATTCCAGAAATAKAAAAATAATAACCGCCCCTCCCCCCAACATATTCTAAATGCCAGCCAAAATATTTCATGACACCAGKACAAAGCAGTGCCTACCTCCACTCTCCCTCCACCAATTAACCCTGAGCACTGCTTGTCTCTAAGCTTGATGGGAACATCTGGACATTGCTATAAAGAAGCCAGCTGTGGTTTTTGTAGCAGCAAGAGTGAAAGAGTATCAGTTGCAGTTAGCTTCTGAAGATAAATAACCAGAGAACATACTCTTTTTGAGTAGTTAATCCCATATTATTTTCTTCATGACAAAGGCAAACAGAAATGTTAGATGTAATCGTAAAACAAATGCAAGAGGATTGACAGTAGAAACCTTTCATTACTGAAACAATTTAAAAAAAACTACTGTTCAGGTACAAACCCCATGGTTTTAAATTATCCCATATGCTCACAATGAAGTCACTATACAGTCAGTTATTTTTTGTTATTAGCTTTCCAATAACAAAAAATTAGTAACTCTTTATCCATGTCAGTCACAACTCATTTGACAGCTTCCAAACTTCCACAACTGTTGTATTTAATGACAAACACAGGTTGCAATACCAATTTTCCTAGGTATACAACATTACAGAATATATTAATGATCAAAAAAAAAAATCAAAATCTGCTCTAGTCTTGGTTCCTTAAAAGACCTTGTCAGGGAAAAATCTGGAAGACTAGAAACATGCAGTGTTTTATTTTCTTAATCCTACGCTCTGACAATCAAAGGTGGAAGATTTAACRTTTTTAAAGCCCATGAAGTTTAAGGTATTTTCTTGGCAAGCTTCTGAATGTATAGGAACTTCTAAACCAGTGTTTAGAAACCATTTCCTTTCCACGGCTAGACTTTCCAGGTCTCTTCATCATTCAGAGTTACCAGGCATTGAAAAAGRTATAGCTCAATGGAAAAGACGTGATAACATGAATAATAATGGTTACACTAAAAATACAAATATCTCATCTGCATGGATTCAGCTCCAGTCCAAAGATAAAATAGCATACCAGCTTGCCAATAGCCTTGCTGCAGAACACTTGTGCAAAAAAACTACAAAAGGCAATCAAGATTTTTAAGTTTTTAAATGGTCAAATCGAATTTTATCATATTTAATATATATTTATTGGGCTAAGTCTTTCTTGAGAATACATGAGACATTTTAACCAAAAGGGTGCAGTTTCCAGAAATTTTAGGATTTTAACAACTTATACGTCACATAAGTCTCTTCTGCCACAGAGTTCTGCTAGTGCAAAGCTACAATGAAACTTGCATATTTAGTATGATACTTCACCAACTCAGAACTCCTATGCAAAGCYTATTTTAGGAAAATAAACGTATCCTTAAACTCTAAAATATATGATATCTTTACCTGTCAAGTTGAAGTTTGGTGCAACTGTGCTGTCAGCTAAAGTAAACCATATTAATCCAAGACTCATACATAGTGCAGCAGACACATCTACAATATTGTAACGTTTTCCTACAAAACACAAAGGGCAAGAATGGACTGTGAGCACACTCAAAATTTCATACTTATCCTGTTTAACAGACTAGAAGGCAAATGAAACGTTGTTCCAATGTCATTATTTTACTGAAATAAAAGACTTAATGTTCTGGTCTTTCATAACTTTCAAACTGGGCTTAGTTTCTTCTACAACAGAAGTTCCTACAATGGGGGAGGAGTCTAATGGAAAATATCTGTTTCTTGTGTCAGTTTCTGTCCTACCAACACTAGGCACATCCTCCCTGACAAAGCATTCTCTTAGCAACTTCAGGACCGCTTRGATGTTTTAATACTTTTCCCTCACACAGGGTGTTTTTGCTGCCTTCATTGATCAGAAAGAAGYCAATTCCAAACACTAACAGACAAGTGATGCTTTTAGAACCTTCCACTGTCTTATCGTTTGGGAGAGACAATTTGTGGAGGGGAATGGAAAAAGAAAGTACAGAAATGAAAAAACAGGAGTTAGTATATCTCATTTGAAACAACACATTCCTTGCTCAGAAGCTGAACTTTGAACATGAGCTTCCAAGGAAACTTTTTTCAATTTTTTTTAACAATAATGTTTTAAAAAAATAGCTTCTTAGACTGCAACACTACTACAAGACAATAAAAAGTTTCACAAAGCTTTAAGGAAATACCAGTCACTTTGCATTAAAATGACAGAAAATTACTCCTAATAAGGTGTAAATACTGTGTGARCATGTGCACATGTAAAGTTGCAATCCCCCCTGAAAAATTCAGCTGTTTTTCAAACAGAAGGCCAGAATTACCTACAGAAATAGTAATACAGCATTCTAGATTTTGTTCCATAATACTTGTCCATGTGGAACTTTGCTAATTGATCTTTGTGTGTTGAACAAACTTTTATAATATACCTAAGTCTTCTAAACAGAGAAATAATGAAATTTATTTATTCACATAATTATAACCTTTACCTTTTTTCACCATATTCTATATCCTCTTCTTGGATTATGAACTACAACCTTAGCTCTAACCAAAGATATGCAAAAGCAGGTGCATTTCTGATTAAACTTTCCATTAGAATGAAGGAATTTAGGAATTAATTTTTTCAAAAAAGAGTAGGGATTTTCTTCACAAATCATGGTTGGATTTCTTTTTCCATAACAAGTTTTCCATTTCAATATTGGAATTGTTTCTACAAACTTACATTTCTTAAAACTTAAGAAAGCTTGTGTAAAAAAGAGGTTTTGCAAGTGCCCTATAGAATGTTTTTCCCCATATTTTCTGTTGATCTAATTATATTTGTACATCTTCTGAGAAGACGCTTCAGAAATTCTCATTTTTCCTCCTATAGGAAAAATTCTACCAGTGGAATTTAACCAAGTACAGGATTCCATATATTTGACAGCTTCCCAAAGAAACAATGAAAGAAATCATCTAATAGCAAGACTAACACTTACCTTGTATAAAAACTCCACCTATCATAACTGGAATCAGCTTACAGCATTTGAAGATGACTTGAGTAGGGTAATTGAGATATCCTAAAGAGGTATTTGACAAACCCATAGTTCCCACTGTCAAAAATGCTATTATCATGTAAGTTTTGCCAGGAATTCTACAAAATATAAACATACAAATCTTGGTATTACAGACTCATCTAGAGGAGATTTAGCTTGGAAAACTTACGTAAAGAAATACATTTGCAATACAACTTCAACATCTTTCTTCCTGAATTTCACTCCATAGAAATTTAAAAAYGCACATAAATGTCTGATTTCATATTTCTTTCAATTACTGTGAATAAACAGCACAAAYAGCAGGCAATAACAACTTTATGGGTCTTGAAGTACTCAAGCAGAAATTCTTTAATCTTCTGAGAAGGTATTTACACAAGAATCAAGACAAAGGTTTCAGGTTATTTGTCAAAGGAAACATGGAAGTTTGGTATACCAAGACATCCTGGATCTTAGTTGTGTCACAGGTCACTGTGACAACTTCTTTGGTGAAGTTTTCACATGAACCTTGACATTTTTTAAATTAAGAAACTTGAAAAAAGAGCCATTGTATTACGAAAATCAACAAAAGTAAGAGAGCAGTGATTCAGATACCATGAACAGAGTGGCTCAATGAACATTTTCAGATGTTTTGTTCAGAATTTGATGAAAATTATCACCTGACAACAGATGATCCAACAGTAATTTTTTTGCTCACTTTGGGATTATKGCTGTACATATGTTTGGCTAGTTTTCATGCATACTCAGAATAGCGTTGAGCAATGAAAGGAGCTCTCTGGCTGTAATCCTGTCTTATCTGTAACCCATTATGTGATGTACACATCCTCTGAGGCATGTGAGAAAAAATTTTAAATTTAAGAAACTTATTTTGGCATGTCTACGAGAAGATGCCTAGGTTATAGAAAATAAAATGTAAAATAYATTTAAGATCTACATTTCCAACACATCTTACTTGAAGGATCAAGAACATTACCAACCCTAACTACTAGTAAAAGAACACCCAAAAGGTAACACTGCAATATTATCAGATGCATCTCAAAAAATCATATAACTTGAAATAGAAACTGTCAGTGTTTAAAATAAAAGGTATAATTTATCAAAGTTATGTGTGGCTAAAACCAATTTTACAATCTAAAATCAGGATATGCAAGGTTGACTGCAGGTAAGGAAAACTAGTTATGTTCAATTAGGATATAAGGCAATTTTAAAATTCATATACACCATGACAGCCTCTATTCAAATTTCCAGAGTGCCTTAACATACAGTTTGCAGAGGCTATAGACGGGTAGGAAGCCACGGAATGGCTACACTGAGTCAGAAAATATCCCATTTTCACAGGATTCGAGACATCAAAAATTTCCTAGGTCAGCTGCAGTGAAAACACAGAACAGTTTTGTGACAGAGTGTTACAAGTGTTGTCTTAAATGAAAAACACAAAACTTTAGCACATCTTTTGAAGCAAATCCACTCAGCCAAATGGCAAGCAGAGAGCAGGCCTCTCCAGATGCACAGCATGTTAGAAGAACCTCTTGGTGAGGAAGTGCCAATATTTGAGGAAAACATTCACTAACAGATGGCTTCAAGTGCTGTGAAGTGCACTGGCTCTATTCTAGACGTGATAATCCCAAGCAACACAGACATGAGTCCATCTTTATCAGCCACCTTAAGGATACTATATGTTCTGTAAGTGGGACAAAGTGACAGCAGAGTCAACAGAACTACTYAGAGGTCTGAAATACAAGCGGGGTGCTTCTGAAACATTCTCTAACATCATCCAGTAAATTCAATTCGTATTATCTACAGAACTGCTAGCAATGCCTCACAGTACTCACTTCAAAAAACAGAAGTTAAATTTACCAAAATTATCAAATACTTCTAATTTCATGGACAGTGGGTAAAATGCTTGGAAAAACACATACCTTCTTCTTTTGTCCTGAATCAACTGCAATTCTATTAGTCCAAAAATGGAATAAAATCCAAATTGCACTAAAGTGAGGTACCAACCAAAAGGTTTAAAACCTTCCACTGAAAATATCAATTCCTATAAAAACAAAAACCCACCAAGGTCATGTACATACACCAAAATATTAAATGGACAAAAAAAGTCAACAGACCTTTTCCCCTCATGTACATGCAAATCTAGCCTTTGCAAATGCTGGTTATCAGCTAGAATTTCTCTGCTATATGTAACTTGCAAAGTTTTGAAAAAGAAAAGACAATTTAGGTTCTCCACAATGAAAGAAGAGAATTTACTGCTGCTGTAAATACACTGAAATTAATGGATCAGTTCCTCAAGGGAATACACTTGATCCATTAGTAATTATCTCAAATTACAGATGGCTACCTTTCTGGTTTTTTTTCTGATTTTCAGTTCATGTATTTCAGTAGACTGTTTTATTCAGATTTTATAAATAGTATTTCAGGATAAATTTAATACAACTTTCTCTAACATACTTARTGACGATTTTCAACCCTTAGGAATGCACACTTAACATTTCGAACGCCTACATTAAACTGCACTTATGAGTTCATAAATTTGCAGACTGTAAGAACATTTTAAACCAGAACAATTTGTTATGGAAAAACACATGCACTGCATAAAGAATTATGCAGGTGTGTCAATTATAGAAACAAAAGGTTAGCTAATATTTTCCTTTTTGAGACTCTGCTTTGAATTACTAATACCATTGTTTAAATCTTTTGAAGTAACTTTATGTTAATAAACTTCTCAGTTACTTTCGAAAACTGCATTGGAAGCATAATTTTTAATTACCAAGTTTTTAAATCACTGCTTTATTGAGAATACTCAATGAACTTAAAAATAACTAAAAAAGGGAGCTGCTCAAGWTAAAAAAGATTAGCAGAATGGTAAATGTTTAACTAAAATGGCATAAACATTATGCTTCTGTTTAACAAAGTACCACAGTACATTTTTCACCTCTGTCCTGAGAGCAGAGAGAAAAATAAGAAAACTGTAACTGTACAGCACTCATGCAACTTAGGGAGATCTGAARGTTTCAACATCAATGAAGACTTCTGTATATCTTGCCCACAGAAGTAAAAGATCAAGTTATGAAAGTCCAAGTGAGCTAAACTCTGCAGGCACATGGACTGTAATGGAAACGTACATTATACATTACTTGCTGTTTTTGAATACTGAAAGGCTGACTTTGCAATAAATATCTTGTTAAAACTTTAAAACATATTAAAACACACACTATATTATTAGGTTATTGAAAAAGAAAAGGGGCAGGAGGAATTGGGTTATGACACAAGTTCATAGCATTTACCTGCAAATATCCATAGATTAGATAAAACATAAAAACTCCAGAAACACAGATGAAAAATTGAGTAGGTTTGCTAAATTTGCTGAGATTAATACCAAGAACTACAACATCATCTACTGATTTGATATGGGGAGACATAGTTTGAGATTTGGAAGGTACACTGATGGAAATATATTTTCTTGATGAAGTGAATTTCAGATCCATGGTTCCTGGTTCGCTGCATTCGGTGCTATTATTGTCTTCYGTCTGCTATTCTCTTTCAGTGTGTTTTCTGTCTGAAAGCTGAAAGAAATGCTAAAATCAGATAGGACACAGCATACAGCCTTTCAACAGCAACAGTAAAGGAATGTGACATTTATAAGGAAAACATAAAAGTTTCAGAGTTTTATTGAATTTCTTTTATTCACAAATTTATTTATTGTTTTGACGTCCAAAGTTAACATCAATTAACTTTGTTAACGCCAAAGTTAACCCCAGAAGCCATCACAACTTTATGAAAGAAGTTTTGCTTCATTGCTACACTCTACAAAGCAAACAAACCAACGAATCAACCCCAAAACATTGGCAGTAGAAAACCAGCTTGAGTCTTCCAACAGTTTTAACTGGTCCTTTCATGTCTGTACTTACAGGAGTGACTGCTTGAGAGATAAGTGATCTCCATGATCAACTCACAATGAAAAAAAATGGTATTGAAGCATTGTGGGACTGCCTACTTTGCTTCATCTTCACAGCAAAACATACCTATTGACTAGTCCCCAGCACAGAAAGCCTTGCTAAAAACTGCAGATTTGAGTCTACGAYCAGTTACAAGTATTGAAGTGCAACAAGTCATCCTCTCATCTTCATATTTATTCACTATTTCTTGCACAGTTTTGTAGAAAAGAACACGGAGACGGAAACAAGCAGATTGAGAAGCCAGTCTCAGAAATCAGACCATTTATCTGATGAGGTCTATGRTATGGCAATCCTTTTAATATTTATTACATGCAGCAATTTGCACATGCAATAGAAAACAAAACTGGATGACTGAAGCCTCATCTTAGCAGACTGAGTTGCAAATAATTCTGTTCTCCAYATCAGCAGACAATAAATATGATGTTTGAAGGTTTTTGATTTTTTTTTAAGATAAAATACACTGGTCAGCCAATAGTCCTAAGACTTTTAAGTGTAGGTCAACATCAAGTTCAGTAATTAAACTGTGTTTGTCCCAACTGTTTAGTGGTTTGTTTGTCCAGCTCAAGATAAATTCTCCTCATCACATATGTAGAAAAAATATTTCCCCATTGTTTTTAAAAGGAAAATGTCCTAGTATATTAATGCTAGATCATGCAATAAATGTAGTCTGCAAGAACACTGGTAATTTCTTACCAGAAATTTCTTATACAATACCAGAAATTCCAAGTTTAGCTGAAAAATGAAGGATTATTATGAAATTTGCAAGGTACTTATGTTACACTTTTTTCACACAATCTACTATCAGGTTAGAACAAGATTCTTACTAGAGTTCTGAAAGAACAGTATGGAAAGTATAACAGGAGTTCAGGAACTGTAATATTTATCTGTGCTTAAATTCATAGTGCTTCAGTTGAAGATCAAAAGTGAGAGGTAGAAAGTTTACCCCTGAGGATTTTTAGCTAATCCCAACATGAAGTGGCCATTACAAAAAGAAAACCAATGTTTTAGATTATTTTTAGTAAAACCTAGAAGAGCACTAATGTCAGACAACAAGGCATGAGTGAGCCTTCACATAGAACATCATAGAGTTCTGATCACCCTCAAARAAAGATTGAAAGAACAATGGCAAAAAAGGGTTATCAGAATGGAGGAACTAAGATTGTCTATCTCAGGAACTGAAATAAGATTAAACTTTAACTTGTATGGCGTAGCAAAAATCCAGTGAAAAGAAAACCAACTTGCTTTCAAACAGAAGTATGAAGGGTGTTCCACTAAGGAGAAAAAGTTATTCTCATTTTAAGGACAGAAGAATGAGAGCAAGTGGACATGAAGTGATCATGAATAAATTTACCCTTCCCACGTCTGGACTATCTGCATTCTAGAGCAACCTAAAAATSAAAAAAGAACAGCTGAACTGTTTTTTAAGGTGAAGCTTATGAAAGCAATGGTGTACAGCTGTTGAGATTGGGCATGATGACTGACCAGTCCTCTTTAATCCTATCTTTACAGCATCCTACTACTAAGCTGCCTGCAAAGATGTTCGGTGATCCAACTTGATCACTAAACACAGGACATCAATTACTATTCTCCCCAAAAGAATTGCAAGCAAAGTTAGGACTTCCAAGTTCAAGCCCAAAGAGCGAATTACCATGAAGGAAAATCAATGTAGTTTGGAACCTATCCATCGGTGGTAGCTCAGATGAACTTGTATTTTTGTTGATGCCTGTTCAGATCTCTCCTGTCCAGCACATACTTCCTCTTGATAGGCACCCAGCATTTGTTAACGCCACAGTTTCTCAGTGGAACAAGTGCTGCAGGAGCAATCTGAATCTCATTTTTCACTTAAGTGGAAACAAAGCATGACATAAGCTCAGAAGATGCGGCCATGTACTGTCATGTACTTCAAGAGTCCAAAAATTGAGAGTTTTCACGATTGTTGAGAGAGCTTGCATAGCATCAACGCCTTTTCTATTTCTCCCCCTGCCCACCCCTGCAGTGAACAGACTGGGGTGTGTGTAGCAGGCTGGGAGAGGGCACAACCTGACAGATCACCGGAACTAACCAGAGATATTCCATAAAGCATCATAGACAGCAATAAAAAGTAAGAGGAGATAGTTCAGGGAGGTTAGCCAGCTTCCGCTCAGGAAGTAGCTGGACAAYGATCTACCTGTGGGAGAAGTGACCATTTTACATCACCTGTTTTGTATCTCTTTTTCCGTTTTTTTCTCCACTTCTTAAGAACTTTTTATCTTGACCCATAAAATTTCTTTTTTACTCATTTTTTCCTCTTCCTTCATCCCTCTTGGGGTAGCAGGGAAAGTGAGCAAGTGGCTGTGTAATGTTGAGCTGCCTACCAGCATTAAACAACACAAGTAACAAAATCTTCAATTTTCAACTATTTCTATTCAAAATATATCCACAGGAATATTATCAGATTTTACAATCTGTCCACTTAATTTCTTGCAGATTACTGAGTCTGTCATGAAAGTAGTAAGAAGCAACACTGACTGCTCCAGTCATACTCATGACCATCTATGAAACTTTGATGTAAGGCGTTTTTCTTTACATCTTTCAAGGAACGTGCATGTATCCATTTGAGACATCWCCACCAAGCAATTTCATTAGCAACAATGACAGAAATCTCGTGAAATTCACTGCAACTTCTCAAACTGCCATTTTTCTAAGTATGAAAACTGTTATTCCTCCTTCTCTAATCAAAGTCCCTCAAGCAATTAATTCACCTCTTGAACATACAGTAAAAATCTGTTTTATAGAGAGTTAAGAGCTGTCCTGCTTTGTGTATAATACCAATTYCCCTCTTTTCCTTTTACTCCTGCATGTAAAAGTTTAAACAACACATTCTTYAGAGCAAAGACTTCCTGTTTATTCCCCTTTAAAAGAAGGAATCAGTAGATCAGTACTTGCAGATCAGTACTTTAACCTAGCACACAAAATAGTGWTTATTACAAGAAAAAGAAACAAATGGCCGAGTATAAAAGCAAAATTTCTTTGGTCTCCCAAAAGTTAACAACTTGTACCATGCATGGAAAAAAACATCATGAAGGAGTTTGAGCTTCGGTTGGCCAAACCTTTTAACGTTGAAGAACATGTTAAAACCATTATTTTGTCAGAAACCAGCCTTTTAGTATGCTGAGAAAAACTGCTCGCCCGAGACACAYAAGGCAAGCTCCACGCTGGCCTTGGCCACGATCCATTTCCACTAAAGACAATGCTTGGTGGCAGGACAGCACCTGACACCACAACAGAGATGCGCCAGGTAACTGGGACACCWAAGTCCATCTGTGGGAAACCTGACCAAATACTTTGCTCGAGGGTACCTGTATCCTGCCCCGGCGGCAAAAGAGGGAAGTGGGATAGGGTCCAGCATGAAGCCTCAGGTCTCCTTCCGGCCCACTCGCCTGCGCCAGGTGTGTCCCTTCCCGAGCGCCTGCCAGCTGTCCTGGGCAGGGCTGGCACTGATTCTCCAGCCGCCACAGGCCGCCATTCCCGCCCTTCCCCCGGGAAAGGGAACGCCTCGCTGCCCACGGGCCTCGCAAGACGCCGCTTCCCCGGGCCGGCCAAAACCCTCTCGACACTCAGTGTCAGCCTCCTCCCGCTCCAGATCCTGCCCCCGGCGCCCCTCACCGTCGCGCCCATGGCCCCCTGATACCCGGCGAGGCTTCCCAGGAAGCGACCCCGCATCCTTCCCGCTCGCCCCCAGTCCCTGAGGGAGGGAGGAAAAGAGGGAGGAGTAACCCCGCCCCGTACCTGTCCGGCGGGCGAGGAGAGGCACGGCGGATCCAGCCAGCCGCCTCCCGCCAGGGCGTCCCGCCCGCCGGGATCCGGGATCGGGGATCGCTCCTCCTGCGGCCCCGCGCCGGCGGAAGTGGCGACCGGGACGCGCCAGGTGTCACTGCGAGCACCGAGCGCATCGACACAGGCCGCTCGCGCGCTCGGCGTTCGGCTACCCGGCCTGGAGCGCGCGCGCGTGGTGGGCGGGGCCTCCGTGACAGGGACCGCCCACCGCGCATGAGGGCGGAGCGGGGCGGGACTCGGGACTCGGGAGTCGGCACTCGCCCCTCGCCCTTTGCTCCTCGCCACTTGCCCCTCGGTACTCGCCACTCGGCATTCGCCATTCCCCGCTCCTCACTCCGCGCTCCTGAGTTACGGCTCCTCGCTCCCTGCCGCCAGMGGTGGCTGCCGAGAGGCTTCCCCGCGTGTCTCTGCGGGAGAGCGGGGAGATYACAGAATCACAGAACCGTTATGGTTGGAAAGGGCCTCTGGAGACCGTCCATCCAACTTCCTTGACAAAGGAAGGTCAGCTAGAGCAGGTGACAAAAGGGACAYATCGAGAAGAGTTTTGAAAGTCTCCAGGGAGGGGGACTCCAYGACCTCCCTGGGCAGCCTGTTCCAGTGCTCTGTCACCCTCAATGTAAAGTTTTCCTTCGTATTGAGGTGGAACTTCCTGTGTTTCAGTTTATGGCCATGCTCCTCGTCCAGAAACCATGCACTACGGAAAAGAGTCTGGCACCATCCCCTTGGCACCCACCCTCAAGATATTTATATGCATAAATGAGATCCTGTCTCACAGAGCCTTCCCTCTTGATGCCCAAAAAAAGCTTATAAATAAAACCCCATGGACCGGTGTCTATAGAGCAGGTATTTGCTTATTACAGTGCTGGTGTAGCGGTGGAGGTGAGGTGGATTTCTCCTCCTAACCCACCTGCCTTTACTTCAAATTAGCACATATTTATACAATAAGCATGGTGCAACATGAACATTGTYACTGCCCCCCATACRCCCACCATACAYCCACCACTATACATGGGCACGGAAGTACACGATATCACAGTTTTACGAGTGCGCATGTGTCATCCTCAATTCGGTGGTCACGGGGTCTCCCTCTAATGAGATRCCATCCTCTTCATCATGGTGGACTTTTACCTTTGTCTTCAGGGCATGTGCAGTGGTGACGTTCATGGGTTTTTTCTAGTCCTCCAAGTTGTGATTTTCAATTATTTTGCTGACTGTCCYGTRCYTCTGCCAAGTTCTCATTAGTGCTCTCTACTGTTCCTTGTTTATAGCATCTACCTGTCTACTTTCTTCAGAACTTTTTTTGATTTATGCCTCTTGGTGATTTCACRTATCTATGTACTAATCCAGCTGGTACACAATATGTTGCTAATACACTATAAAAAAACTTATAGTAATATATAAAAAAGCTATCATTGATAATATATTGAAAGTGATTACATTGTGTTTTAATAACATGTAAAAAGTTATTACATTCTTATATTGGTAACGTATAAAAAAAGGCTATCGAAAGTTTTCAATTAATAGGGCTCATAAGCACCTTGTCACTTTGATATAGACCATATGTATYATTTGACTATATGTATCACTCTCCAGACTAAACCAAGCCCAGCTCCAGCAGTCTCCTCATAAGAGAAGTGCCCCAGACCCATCATCTTCGTGGCCCTCCATTGGACCATCTCCAGTAGATCCTTGACCAGTACTGAGGAGCCCAGAACTGGACACAGCACTCCAGATGTGACCTCACCGGGGCGGAGCAGAGGGGCAGKATCACCTCCSTCCACCTGCTGGATGCAAACTCTTGTCGATGCACCCCAGGGCACCACTGGCTCTSCTGGCCAGTAACTCTGCTCTGCCCTGCCCCACCGGAACGCAGCCGGGATGTGGGAAAGGAGCCCAGGATGGCAGGAGTCCTGGAAGGGGCTGAGGACCTTCTCGCCTGCCTGCACTCCCTGAAGCTGCCAGYAGAGGCGACAGGGACACTTGGGGGTGTCTCCTCCCCTCCCAGGTGTTAGGTGCTTTGGTCAGGCGCTGCTTTCAGTCCACAGTGAGTGGGACTGCCTCAACACTCTGGAAAAGCCTCCTGGAGAAGAYAGTCGTGTTTCACACCATGGTGACATCAAGACTGTTTGGAATCCTGAAAAAGTTTGGTTCCGAGGTTTGGTTGATGCTCTGCTGTTCTGATGTGAGCAATGAATCATCCACGCAAAGCTGCTGCTTTCATTAAAAGAAAAGGCAAGAATGCATTTAGAGGAAGGTGTTCTTGTGATTGTTCCACGTGAGGCTGCAGGAAGGAAATAATAAAAGTATTTAATGRTGACAAGTGAAAAGGTAAATGAGTGCAATAACAGCAGAATGCTATAGAGCATAATGGCCAAAGGAATCGGGTAAAGAACTTAGAAGAAAGGTAGCTAAAGGCATTTTTGGGAAAATGTGCAAATTAGATGTAGCTTGAAAATACATAAAATCCAGTTATTATTCATATCAGTCTATAAAATGGCAGTGCTGTGTTTTCTGTAATTATGTGCAAAGGTATTCAACATTATACATAATCACTACAGGACAACAGATATATATTTAGGAAATTCAAACTTTTATGTTTAAAGTGTTTTAAAAGTTCACTTATCCAAAGGTAAAGAAAAGGTTAGTGTAGTAAATCAGTGTGTATTATAGATAGTAGCAATAAGTGCTCCAGCATTTAAATTATATTTTTAAGGGTGTTTATTAAGTGACAAACACCAAAAAGAAAATGTACACGACAGGATTACTTAAAAATAAGCAAATAAACAAAAATTTGAACCCTCTGAAACCTTTTAGCAAATAGCTGTTTCTGAAAAATGGGATTAGGGATTATTGAGAAAAATACTTGCAGCCATCTTCCTGTGAAATTCCAGTGCTTCTTGATTTGGGATTCCTTTACCTGGATTGGGGGATTTCACTTTTAGCAAACAATTGTGCTTTCTTTTGCCACAAATATGAATGGTGTTTTTTACTGTCTCTGTGATAGAAGTAACTCCCCCAGTAATTCAAGTAAATACATTCAAGCTTGTATGTGATCCGATTGGATTTTCTAGCATCCTGTAAATAAATTCTCTAGATGTCAGCTGCAATCAATGTTTGTGTAACATATAAGTGGAGTGATTACACAGAAAGTTCCTCSTGAAGATGAGGAAGTAGTTATTTTCTGTGTGCATGACTGAGCACTGGAACAGATTCCCAGAGAAGTTGTGGCTTCTCCCTCACTGGAGTTATTCAAAAGCCATCTGGACACAATCCTGAATAATGTGCTCTAGGGGATCCTGCTTGAGCAGAGTGGACCAGATGACCTCCAGTGGTCCCTTCTAACCTTATCAATTCTGTGCTTCTCTGAATGTGCCTTATTGACTCAGTGGAAGCAGGCAGACTGCAGGAAAAATCAAACTGCACCACTAAATTGGATTGACTAAATAACCTGTAACTGGGTGGATGCAACCTGGATATGTGAGGCTCTTGAGCAGGAAGAGTGYTGAGAGAGACACACTGGCAAGCATGATTTGATATTCCCTAATATCTGAGACTTGTTGCTATCCTAGTGCATTCTTTTTTTAATTCACAATGTCAAAAATAGGCTGCTTGTTTTTTACTTGGGAGGTCTCCTGCCTGTTGGTAAACAGCATGCATTTTGCTGTTCACAGTGTATTTTTTTTCTATTTCTGTTGTCCATATTCCATCATTCCAACGGGAAAATGGCATGCATACTGGAGAATGTTTTTAAATAAAGCCGAAGAGTAAACGACAAGTAGGATGTTTATTATTGATCTCACAGATGCTTTTGCAGTCTACAATATGAACACGTATGGATTACTGGTAAAGTTGGAAAGCAAATTGCATTTTCTTTTATCGTTTGTAAAAATGAAGTTAGGGCTTATGAAAGGTACTGGATTCAGGCTCTGGGGACTTAACTTCTCTGTTTATCYAGGAAATAGATGTTGTACATCACGAGCAGAGGCAGTGGAAGTATTAAAGATCTCAAAGTTCTCACACTCCCTGTCTGTACTTCTCCTTCTTGAACAACTCAAGGTACCAATAGGAAAGCTTAGTGCACAAACTTAATCCTGTTTTTTCTTCTGGATGAGACATATAATGCTGTTGGCTGTAGTTTTATTAACAAGAGCTTTTGTTCACTACAGTCTAATTTAAAAATGCCAGCTCCATGAGAGGTTTTGTTACCTTTGTTGCCTTTCTTGTCTAGCCTAGATTGTTTTCACACTCTTTCAATATGAGCATTTCTAATTTTTCATCAGTGAAATGGTACCCCTGTACCCATATCCCAGGGGGTTGGGGTTTAACCARAACAAAGGTGTTAGGCACTTCTTATATCTGGAAGGGAGCATAAATGTGGCATATTTATAATAGGTACACATTTTGCATTTTGCTGATGGACTATGGACAGTAATATTTTTGTGACATAGTGTGTGTTGCTATTAAGAATTTAAAGGAGTAAAAAAATATTTCCTGTGTTTGCCAAAATTGTCCACTACAGGTATGTTTTCCCATGAAGTGTGTGTAGTATACCATGAGTGACACAAATATCCATAGAATTTTTTCAACTGGGCAATGAATAAAATGAAATTAATGAACTAGAACAATGAGAGGGGTTTTTTATACTTCAGTGAGAAAGGCAAATTAATAACCACTTTCAAATGCTTGAACYCACCTCTTAGGGATGTGTGTTATTTGTATAAATATTTTTAGAATCTTCTATATCGTTTAAATGTGTGAGTCTTGATACAGCTAAAGCCAATGTTATTTACTGGTTTACCATCTTTACCAAAACTGGTGGGGAGTTGCATGCAAAGTGACCAGTTTTTCTGTGAATTTTGTTTTAGGGTTTGCATTTGATACAATTAAGTACTACAAAGAAGCAAATATTTTGATTAGATGAAAGTGCATTTTGGCTGTCATAACTGGTTATCTACTGAGTTAGTGGGAGTTAAGTAAACCTAGAAACTTGATTGACAAAAATGAAGAGCATCTATTTAGCTCTGTAGCATGGGGAAGAAGGGGGAAAGCAATAATTCTTTTCTGTGGTTGCCAGATATTTATAATAATATGCCTG